ACACATACACATGTGTGAGTGTATGCAATGATACGCACATACACCCATGTGTGTGTATGGCATTGCATGCATACACACAGGCGTGCGTGTACGATTGTGCGTGAAAGACAAGATACATTCAGCTCAGTCTAGCTGCCATGACAACCACTCGATGTGCTGATGAAGGGGGGCAACAAGGTAATTAACGTAGGGTTTAGGGCTTTAGGTTGGGCTTGCGCATCACATTCACTTACACATCCAACTGCAAGCATATGCACGGGATCAATCGGTTCATCAGAGAGGTGCGTACAAACATACACACAAAGTGTGTAAACGTACATCTGCAAGGTCGCACATTACTTTTTTCAGATAGAATGGGGTAAGTTCCAAGGCAGATATTAAATACTTTTAGGGTATGGTTTAGGGGGTTTGGGGTTTTAAGGTTTAGTTTAGGGTTTGAGGGTATAGAATTTTAGCTTTTAGAATTTTAGGATTTAGGGTTTAGATTTTAGGGAACTAGACGAGTGCATAGAAGTATGGTACACTATGCGCAGTACTTGGTACAGATGAACGAATGAACCACACGCTGCAACAACAGCTACACTTCATTAACCTCATGAGACGATTCAGGCAAGGCTACTATATGCACAAGACACCTTGGAATATCATACACATACATATACTATACTTGCATACAATACACATACACACTCCTATCGACATGTGCACACACACACCCACACACCTACACACTAACACACCTACAGCCCACACACTTACACACACATACACACCACTATCGACATGTGTACCTACACACCACACACCTCCACACTCCCACACACCTCATCAGACTCACCTGAGGAACCCTCGCTGTAGTGCCATGCCCACAGCCGAGTAGGGCGTTGAGTTGCGGAAGGAGAAGGTGTTCATGATATGCGCTGCTCTCCCGTGCAAGACAGCCAGCGCCTCTTTATCCGCTGCAAGCGACGGGCCTTCTTGTGGGCGTGGCAATTGAATGCGTATGAGTTGGTGAAGGTGGATATGCGAGGATGTGTCTGAGCGTGTGTGTGTGTGTGTGTGTGTATGTGCAGGCATGTATGGAAGTATGGGGTGCAAATGACTATGTGTGCATATGATACGTGCAAGTGTATATATTTATTAAGTGTATATATTTGATTATATTGCGTACATGCATATATGTGTGTGTATGTGTGTGTATAACAATAATAAATCATTCTCGTTCGACATGATGCAGTATCTAAACCCTCACACGTGACACAAAGTGCACGTCGAAAATAAGCAAACATGTACCTCAGGAGAGAGAACCAAGGTATGTACATATACAACTAAACATATATACGTATACATGTAGATAAATACGCTTACACATATATAACTAAATACGTCTCTACACATGTAATTTACTATATATGCACATATGTAACTAAATACATACGTACACACGCAACGTATACCCGTAAACACATACAACCATTCAACCTCCGCAACCACGTGACCTTACTTGTCTCCAGCGCAGGAGCGCCATCGCGGAGACTCTGTTCGTGTTCGATGATGTCTGACAGCTTAGCGAGCGGTGACAGATTCAGCAGAGAGTGTTCATCTTCATACATGATACGAGCTACTACACCCGCTACCTCTAGCAGCTCAGTGTTCCATCTGTGGGGCATGGACAGGGCGTTGAAGTTTAGGTTGGTATACATCTACGTGTATGTATATATGTATATATGTTGTGTATATGCATAAATGTATGTTTATGTATATGTATATGTATATGTATATGCATATGCATATGTATATGTATATGTACATGTACATGTACATGTACATGTAAATGTAAATGTAAATGTAAATGTATTGTATATGTATATATATATATGTATATGTATATATATATGTATATGTATATGTATATGTATATGTATATGTATATGTATATGTATATGTATATGTATATGTATATGTATAT